TCATTCTTATACATTTATAAAGTCGATTTGGCACCGAATCGACTAATTTTTATGTTATATCATTCCACCAAAAGACATCGCTTCAGATCATCTTTATTTTTCGGCTGATGGTTTTTTATTCTTCGTTCAAGCTCATCCCATATGTTCTATAGGATTGAAGTCCGGTGAGTAGGGGGCCTGTTTTAATGTATTGATCTTCTTTTCTTTCAACCAGTCATGCCCGCCGCGCTTTTTAAGTCGTTATCATGCTGAAAGACCATTGTTTTGTTTAGTCGTAGTTTTTTGGCCGATCGAAATAGGTTAAATTTCGACTCATCCTACCAAATTAAGTTATTCCAATGGTCCAGCGGTTCCTTTAACATAGTTTTGGCGTAATCCAGACGTTTGCCACGACTGACCTTATTTACGTAGGATTTTTGCGAGCAACACGACCATATAAACCGATTTTGTGAGCTCTACTTCGAACTATGTCGTCACTAATCACCACCCCCAACTCTTTTTCGACTCCGATCGGATATTATGCGAATACTCCTTCCGTCTAGATTATATAAATCACGCTCATTTTTTATCACTGGGTATAAGATCAGAAAAGTGGATGGCGGCATGATGAGAGATGAGATGAAAAGCGAGACAACCATGAAAATCTTTGTCTGCAGAAAATGTTTCCATAGAATTCCATGCCAAAATTCCCGCCGAGTTTAAGACATTCACGAATGAAAAATTCCTGCAGGATTCTTCAATGGAAAAGAGAAAAATGCTGCAGGAAATTTTCATTCGTGAATAATTTAAATAATAATAATTCGGAATCAGCTCAGTTAGGGCTATCTGTCTATGTAGCTTTCGACCGAAAGTTGCGATAGTGCTGTATTTTTGAATTGCGGGCACCTTACATGTAAAGTTCAGAATTCTAGAATTCTTAATTCTACAGATAATAGCAATGTTTGAACTTTACATTTTGTAATTGTAATCGCTCACGTCTGGGTTGGTGCTATTACCCTTTAGTATCACTGTAGAAGTCACATCTCATAAGACTTTCTTATGAGATGTGACTTGGGATTTGGCAAAAAGTTTGTTTATAAAATCGACAACAACATGTGGAATTTCGTTTCTGCAAACAAAATTATTTTCAATTATTGCACAGAATTAAAAAAACAATAAATGTATGAACTGATCTGAACTGAAATTTATTTTACACAGAGGTAGGATATCACAGAAAAGCACCAAAAAGACTTGTGGCATCCGGAGACACCTCATGATGTTTCAGACTTACTAATGTATTCATCTCTTGACAAGATTCATCATTGAAAAAATGTTCGTTACCTCTTTGTTTGTAAGGATTCGCAGCACATGCCTCTGTTCCAGCTGAGAATATTTTAAATCAAACCGAAAAGCTGCGCTTCGCTGTACTGTAAATTTGTGTCACTAGCCCGTTGAGATGTGATTATTAATCGATAACTTGTATAAGCTATGCTGTTAGAAAAATTTTGTGATGCAAAATACGTTTCTCTTGCAATCGAACTCCCTGTAGGAATTCCTGTTGGTCCAGTATACAGCAAATTCCAACTTGTACCAAGATTTAAAACATTAAGTGGTGAATTACTACCTTCAAGCGTACATGTTAAAGGATCACGATTTTCATCGTCATTCGCGGTTGCAAAGCACAGAGATGTTGCAATGGACTCTCCAACCGCTGGAACAATATAGAAGCCAGTTCCCACCCCAGCTGTTGAACTCGACTGAGTTACGTTTGCACTACCGTAACTATTATACTTTGTATTCACATTTCGATCAACTGCATTAAGAAATCCCTCTGCAGCAGGAAATTGACCAGATGAACTTCCAGCTGTTGCATTTTTACTATCAGAGCCAACGCTAGCATTATATATACCAACAATAGTGTCACCATAAGCAGTGATATTCCCCCATGACCACAACCTCGTTGCTAAAAGAAACAGGTATTACATTAGATAATAAAAAACGAACAAATATACTTGTATCTGCATAAGACTCGTTTGCCCACTGAAAAAAATAATCAGAATTCATGCAGGATCCCGCAGGACTTTGCGCAGGATCTTGCGGCTTATCGGTATTAAAATATCTGGGGATGTTTCTTACCTTTACGCAAGATTTTTATACTGACAGCACTGACAGGACCCTGCATAGTTTATGTGTTTATGTATTTACTTTTTTCATCTACCATGGCAGATGGAAAAAGTAAAACGATAAATTTTTATTTGATAAAAGATTGTACGACAACGGATAATCACTGAACAACGTGCACGTGTTATTGTTAAAATACTAATTGAAGGACAGATGACTGTTAAGTACAGCATAGCATGAACATTCTTACCAATTACTGCGAGTTTTAGTGACAGTATTAAGCACAGGAAAACAATATGTATTCGAAATCAATCCTAAACTAACACACTGCTCAAACGATGCAATTGGTAAAAATATCAAAAGAAAAGTTTGAAGTGTGACAAGTATGTCTTTGTTGTGAAAGTAAACAAACAGATTAAATAACCGATTAAAATAATATAACGACGAACAATAATAGTATTATTTAATCAAAAGACAAACTTAAACAGTCGAACAAGTGGGTGTGGTTAGTATTTATACCTTCAAAATAGTTACAAAGATTGAAGACGACTGTATAAATGCTTTGAGTGATGAGTAACCATTCATGAAAGGCTAAAATAACATCATCGTTTGCATTGAGTTGTCAGTCTTGTTTATGTTGATCATAGTCCTCTTACCACTGAATGTGTAACTGCCCACTGAAAGAAGCTTATACATTCCTGCGTGTTAATGCAGGAATCTCAAAAAATCCTGTGAATGTTGGATATATGCTGCAGGTTTTCACATCACGTTATCTTGCCGAAAATTTTCCTGCAAGTTGGTGAGTATAATCATGCAGGATTCTTTAATACGCCCACTTTTTAAATTTCTTTCCTACAGGATCCTGGAGGATTCTTTACTAAGTACACCATGCAGGTCTTATTGTCTTATTTGGCTATTATTTTTAGAGTCTCTGGAAACCGGGTCTCTCTTCGAGCCTTTAAGAGGTAGCGACCTCAATCGTTCAGATTTAAGAATAGGACGCCTTTTACCACTAGACTGATCGAAAAAACAAAATTTTTTTTGTCGACTAATTTTGAGGTACTAGGGTTTTACCGGACGAGGTCTGCGGGGAAAAGCTCTTCCGAAAAATTTACTTTCTACATAGATAAATGTCCCACGAGCTGCTCTGTTTAGCGGTGAAAACCGCAGGTCTCTAGGTCTGTTGATTCCGGAGTTATAAGCGTTTTGTTCACTCATCTTATTTTCAGAGATGGACAATAGTAACATGAATGTGGATAGCATAATTTATTTTGTGATAACAAGAAAAAGTTTTGTGACCAATTTTTCTTCTTAACCTCGAAGCAGCTCGATAAATCACTTATTATGGTTGTAGTCCAAAATTTGAGCTGTCAGTTTTATCTCATTAGATATTCACCTGAAGTCAAACAAGTTTGAAAAATAATTTTCTCCATACATTTCATTTCTTATGTTTGACTTGTTGAATGACAACAGACTGATACCGATACTCTCAGCAGTAAAATAGTGTATCGGAGCATATCAGATGCTATAGTCTGTTGAAGTGACTCTTAAAAAATAAGCGGCGCTGCGTAAAGAAAAGTTTTCCTAAACTTGTTTAACTTCATGTGAAAATGCAATGAGATAAAACTGTAATTCAGCTTTTACTGTTTTGTTTTGTTGTTTTATTTGACTTTTGATTAAATAATACTGTTATTGTTCGTTGTTATATTATTTTAATCTGCAAACTGTCTGCCTACTTTCACAAACATGCTGACAACACTTCCAACTTCTCTGTTGATATTTTTACCGGTTACATCAATTGTGCGGTGTATTAGTCTACGATTTATTTCGCATACTGCTTTTTCGTGGGTTGGGTGTCGATAATTAAGCGGAATAGACGAACTGGCTTTTATTCAATAAACATAAAAAGATATGGTTTAGAATTCTCAATATTCTTATTTTTCTAATTTAATTCCAGAACCTGTTGTCAATATATTGAGCGGTACAAAAACTACCTCAGATACCTCCAGTCTAAAAAATTATTATCCTCCTAAAAAATTTTCCCGGCCCGTCCACGAAAGATAATGTTTATGTAATAAACTCAAAGATGTGTTGCTTCATCCTTCGAACCATACCCGTTCTAACTCAAGCTATTCCGTTTGTAAAAGATATATACAACTTAGTAGCTAAATCTGTAAATCTGAAAAGCGCCCACTTAAATGGATATAGCCAGATGGTTTGATCTCTTTGAAAGCGTTAATTAACAAAATAAATAAACAATAAAGGGTGAGCTCGAACCTAATTTTACCTAGTATTGTATGATCAAGTGATAAAGGTTGTTTTAATAAAAATGCTGCAGCAACATATAAACTTTCATTGAACCTTAAAAGAACTTTTGGACAGGCTGAAATGAATCACAAGAAAAGCTTGTCAAAAAATTTCGAATAAAATAATATTTATACGGTTCAAGTAACGAGTTTGAATACGAGATTTTAAAATATCGTCACTATATGCTCAACAATAAAACAATAATAATATCCCCATGAAATCTGTCAAACACCAAAAAACTAAAGAGAAAAGGTTATACTTATCGAATGAAACCAGTCCATTGTAACATCTAACATTTTTAGAAATGTCACTTGGAAAAATTGGGTACAAATGACGGGCAATGATATCGAATTTCCTCAACTTAACCTTGATTATTTTTAACTTATATGCAGAGATGTGCGCCGCCGCTGAAGGCGGAGAAAAATTATTTTGACATCCGTCGTTGCCGCCATGTTTTAGATCTTATTAGCAAGAAAATTTTGTTAAGTTCACGCTGCAACTATTGAAATGTTTTGAATAAATGAATATCCTCTTATTCATTCCGAATACGTTGAAGTGCTACACAAGCAAAAATCATCTATGGGAAAAATCTAGATATATTTTGCCTGTAGTGGGACGATGCACGACTAGGTGTCATCTGGATTACTAGTTGGAAAAGGGACTTTTGACTAGATGAGTCTGCATGTACAAGTAGCAATAGTTAAATCGATCGACTAGGCGATAAATTGATAGTTGCATTGAGGAGGAATCTAGCAGTCGGGCGATTGCTAGATTTCTACGGTCGTTACTAAATAGTTGTAATCGAGTAAAAAGCTAGTAATCTGGATGAATCGGGCAAAAATAGATTTTTTTTTAATGCTTGGGTATGTAAAAGTCGAGCTAACGACTCTATGATTCATCGGAGATAATAGCACAAGGCTTAATGGTCTTTGTCTTTCTAAGTTATTCGATAGAGTATTGAATAAATTGAACTTTATTTCATGCGTAGAAAGAAAAAAAACTTGACGAACAAATTGACTATCTCAGCTGGGTATGCACCAAGTAATTGTCTAAGGATTTTGTATTTTCTCGAAAAATCTGCCGTTTCGTAAATTTTTTCGTTAAAAATTTTCTGACTCAGCAAGAATCTACAGCAAATATTTCTCTACAAAATGAGAGGTCGGACAGCTTTCCATGATTTGTTTTGAGATTCTAGCAACGATACTTTCAGAACACATAATCGAGTAGTGAACAAGTTTATCGAGTGCTCGACGAGTACCCGGTTAGTCTCTTATAGGACATCGAATAGAAAATCTTAAAATAAATCATAATCATGCAAAGCTGTCCAGCCTCTCATTTCGTAGAAATGTTCGCTCTAAATTGTTGCCAAGTCAGAAAATTTTGCGAAACGGAGGATTTTTCAAAAAAATAAATATGAAATTCTTAGGCAATTTTACTTGGTGCATGCCTGATCTCAGCTGGGGATAAATCACGAAACATTCAGAATATAGTGTGAAGTACTCCTTAAAAAAAGGCTGTTTATCAAAATTTAAAGGTTCAGTAGACGTTTCTCGAGCTCGGAGATAATTCATGAGATTTTCCCATATCCAAAAAGGTGACTTGGAGACTTGTAGTAGCTTTTAAAAACTGGAAACAATGTTTTTGATAAGATAAATTATTTAATAACTTTGATACGTTTTTGAAGACTATTTTCTGTACGAAAAAGTCACACAATCCTCACCGGTTAGGTCACTCTCATTTAGTAATTTAAGGAATTTAGTTCTCTATCGATGTGAACCAGAGTTGAGTAAAAAAATTGACTTTTCCAACAAAGTGGTGCTGTGGTTTTGAATTAACGAGGGCACTATGGAATTTTCGTTACTACTCACAAGCACTTTGCTCTCGTAGTTCAGATTTTGTCCATGACGCTACTTACTTGTAGTAGTAGTAGTGGTCGTTGTTGTTGTTGTTATCGTTGTCGTCGAGATGGTGCCTATATGGACCATAAAAACGAACCTCTCTACTTCATTTATCATCTTACACTTACTCGTGGTGATAGTAGTGGTTGTGCCGGTGGTAGTAGTCGTTGTCGCTGTCGAAGTAGTTTCTGTTGTAGTAGTTGTGCTTGCTGTAACAGTCAAACTAAGTGTTATAGTTGTAGTCGTTGTTGAAGCTGTTGAAGCATGAAAACAATGGTGCTGGTCAAAGAAAACCTTTTTACTGCTCATCTTCTCTTCTCATTTACTTGTTGGATGTGCTAAGGTTCATAGTAATACTTTAAAGACGTTCACATCTTACGCACAGTTAGCGTTCATTCAGTCACACTTCCTCTAATTTAAAATCAACCGACGTTCTTTATAACTGCCTACTTACTACTGCTGCAACGGCCGCTACTAATCCAGCTACTAATAATCCAGTGATTGCAGCACAACAACACCATGGAGACGATTTGAATAACCTTAAAAGAGAAAATTATATTAGGACAAGTTATTAGTGCAGTTATTCTATGAAGAAAGTTTACCGACGAATGTTTTTTGTTGCTTGGTTTTTAACCTTATTATTATTTTTGATGCCGTCTCGTAAAACTTTCTTTTCCAACTCTTTTGATGACGCTGATTTTGATGATAATTTTGTTTTAGAATTCTGGTTTAAATAATTTTTCTAAGCACAAACGAAAAACAGAGAAACCATCGCAACTACAACTTTTATTCGGATGAGAATACTTTGGTAACTTTTTTAGCTGTTGTAGTTGTTGTTGTTGGGGTGGATGTGCGTGGTGGTGGTGACTGTTCATCCTTCTTTTTTAAATTTGAACTTGAGTTGTTATTATTTAAAGAAGATGAATGGCCGTCATCGTCCTACAACAGTCGTATAAACGAACAAAAAAAGTCCGTTTGTTACGAAGAAAGTTAAGAAAATACTACGATCTGCTTCTGGGAACGGCGACGACTATTGTTTCGTGAAGTTGTTTTTATTATCGTCTGTAAACAGAATACGACATGTATCTGCGTTTTGGATGTAGTCTTCATTGTACATACGTCTCTTCCCCCTCTTGCTGCTGCTGCAGCTCCTCGTAGTGCTGGTGGTGTACCAATACCGTATGTTAAATCATTATTATTACTTAACAGTATAATATCATTTAATTTTGTTGGTGTTGTAATAACTGGCGTGGTGACTACATCCTCCTCAATTTACGAAAAACAGAAGAAGAAATTACTTGTTTGACTTTAAATGTTAACACTGTAGAGAACCTGCGAAACGAAAAAAAAAATTGATTTTTCCTTTTACCGACTTTCTTATTAAGATCGATGATCGTCTCGATACTCTTCTAATTGAAGTATGATGGTTTTGCGACGTTGGCTGTAGATGATTAGTTGTTGTTTCATTCACTAAATTAGTGGTAGTAATTATACTATAGCCTGTTTTTTGTGTTAATTGAGTATTAGTAGTAGTGCCAGCAGTATCAGCTATAACAGCTGTATCCTGGAAAAACAAAAAGATGTTCAACATTGCTTTTTTAAATTTTACGTACAAGAGAACAAAACAGATTTCTCACCACCTACCAACTTTCGCAATGATCGTCGCGATACTTTTGAAATACGATGATGATGACTGGTATTCTCTTTAGTAGCTGTAGTTTCGTTCGTAACCGCGAAAGTAGTAGTATCAGTCGTCGTAGTACTGCCATGGTTTCCTGCAGCAGTAACTATAATTGTCGGCATAATAACTGTAAATATCACTCTATTCTCATTCTAAACATTATATTTTTTATGATCAATACTCTCTCTGTCTCTCTCTGTTTTAATAATTAAAAATATTATTACATGCTCATAATAAATTTTTAATTTAAAATCAGAAGAATGCGAGTATTTTAGAGTGCTTCTTCTTTTCGTGTGCCTTTTACATAAAAGAAATTTTGTGTTTAAAAATGTCATTCATGCGCCTCTTGACCCTTGAGGATTTTTAAACCGAGCAGTCGCCGATATATCGCCATAAATGTATTGATAATGGGATATATCGCAATATCATGATTGTTTACCGCGATAAATTCTACATTGCGATCTATCAGACGATTCTAGTAGATCGGCCGCGATAAATATTTATCGATCAAAATCGCGATATCATTTCATATTGCGTTAAATTGTAGAAATATCCGAAGAGAAGAAGTAGTTAGGTAAATCGTAATGCCTTTTTATCTGGATGTATCGCGATATGCGTCAGTTTCACGATATCCTACTGTTTATCAGGATACCGATGAATACGGCAATAAGGCGCACTGATTTTTTACAGTGTTTTAACGCAATCAAAGTCTATCGCGATATGAACGCGAATTAACGTGATACTTTTAAAAAGTATTAAAATACAGACAGGAAACACGTCCAGATTCAAAAAAGTAGGAAAATGGTAAAAACGTAATTATTCTCATCATTTTCTAGGTATTCATTTTTAATTTGGTTTTTATTTTTTAAGTTTAAGTGTCTCTTCGTATATTTACCACAGTTTATGTTCCTTTTCTATTTCGAATGAAGAATAATGAATCATAGCCAAAAAATATTTAACTGAAAGCTTTTTGAGACTATACGTCTTTTCCTTTTTTAACACGAAACAAGTCGGTTAATAAACTATTTTTTATTATTCGTTTTGCTGCATTCGATTCAATCGCCAATACTTTTGAGTTACAATTGTTATTATGTCCCTTTTGGAATTAATGCTGAGAAAATCTCGAAAAGCCTTGTCCAACAAAGGATTTCTGAGGTTCACGCTCTCGTTTACCAATTCTTCGACTAGTCTGACCAACATACATTCCATTACAATCATATCCATAGACTACTGTTTTTTTAATCTTTATTATTCTATTTACCGTAGAAAATGCCCTCTCTCCTCTTCTTGAATAACTTTCGGTCTGCATTGTATGCAAGTTGACAGTCGTTCTGTACTGAAGCCTTTAAAAACAAAAGAAAAAAAATCTGCTTTTTGAAAAAATGCACTAACAGTCTGACACCTTTGTATTTGGGTCGATGTTCATTTAGTTCAGATATCATTAGTAGTTTCACTCTGATCATTAGCCTTAACTTCAGAGCCTTGCAGGTTGATCCTAACCTAACCTGATTAGGTTGCAAGAGTTATAGGTTAGGTAGGTTGTTATTTCTTTTTCGAATAACTGCTACTTTTGCTCAAATGAAAACTTTTTTCTGATTTTAACGACATTTTTGTCCTTATTCTTTATGCCTGATTGCCTTATTTAAGACAATAGACTGCAAAATGGTTGGACAATATTTTGTGCCAACTATGTTCGTTTCTGCAGGTTAGGATTAGGTTATTTAATATAATATAGGATTTGAAGTTAGCCTGTAAAACTGCCATTGAAAATTATCCATAAAAAATAAAGAAATATCTTCTATTCAGCGAAGGCTAAATCGTTGGAAGAACAAAATGGTAAACAATAATCAATCGAAAAAGCCACCTCTTTCCAGCAATCTTAAATAACACGTTGCTCGATTGGAAATCCGACACAGATTATGATGATGGCAATATTTTTGGTGTACAAGTTCTTTTGTAACGAAAAAATCAGCAAACAAAAGTCAATTTAGAGCATAAAAACACCAAAGACTATCTCGGTATCCATAGACTGTAAAACATTCTCTCTGAGGCGAATCAACAAGAGACACATTCGAAAGAGGCACATTATAGTGTCTTAAAAACAGACGTATTGAGACACATTCTAGAAGTGCCATTATGCAGAAGACGCATGTTTTCGTATAGTGTATGCGGGACAAAAACGATTTTTCAGAAACTGTTCGTAATCAAGCATTAAAACAAAATTTTTGGAAAAATTCGCTTCGCAGGAGGAACTAGCCTTGACATGTGCTTTTGACCAGATCAGCTTCCGAAGAAAAAACTTTCTATCTCATTTTTGGATGTGGAATCCTATTTTGTATTCATCAAACACATCTGCTAATCCAGCCGCTTACTCGATACGGAAAAAAATAACCTTAGTTTTTCATTTGTGGACATACAAGGTCATGTGTATCTTGTGACATGCCAAAGTACAGGAAATATAAGGAATCAAGACCTAAAGCTTTCCAATTATACTCAGTTCACCTTTCTCTACAACATATGTAAAAATCAACCAAATTTGAGATAACTTTCATCGATTATGCATCGCTTATTCAAGAATTTATTCAACAAAATGTTCTAAAGGTGGAATTAGTATTCATCTTAAGAATGAGTTTTTGAGAAAGTGGTTAACATATGACATATGATATTTATTTCTCGTTATTTATTCAAAATGATTGATAGATCATTGTACTGGAAACAGATGCTACTGAAAAGATGCTCAACCAACGGAAAAATCACACCTGAGAACGGAAAACAACAACAACAGCCTAACAAAATAGGAATAAGTAATGATATGGTTAAAGAACATGTTTATCATGATTTATTACTGTGGTCAATATTAACGAACATAGCAATAAATCATCGTATTGAAATGACAAAGGTGTTTCTCGAACATATCCAAACGCGTATTTGTCCATCATTAATTGCATCTAAAATTTTATAATTTAATTAATTAAAAAAAGGATTGTACAAAGACATAATCCCGGTCATTAACCGATGTTCATTAGTCAATAATATAAACTGAATTCTTTCTCCGAAAAAAATTAACAGCCCACGATGTTTCTTTCAGTGATAATCCATAAAAAATTGCCAACAAACATCGAATAATAGCTATCATTCAGTGTAATGTGAAACGCACATAGTTATGAACCAGATGTATTTTAAACAATTTTCTGTTTGAGAAAAAGCAGCTGTCTCGAACTTCCTTTCTCACTATGTTAAAAGATACATAGAGGTTACTTACCAAACGTTATTTTTCCATCAATATTCTATTTTAGTGTAGTCAAGAAAACATTTTCAGAGGTTTCATTCAGGAAAATATATATCTTCGAATCACACAATAACTCACAAGTTAGCTTTCTCATCTAACACCCATAAAAGAGAAAATAATAGCGAAAGAGCTATTGAAACGCATTGCATTACTTTATTAAAACATTGGGAAAATATACTAGGTCTTTATAGTTAGTTTTAGTTGCGATAAGAGCAGCAAACAATTAAGTTTAACTAGGAAGTATGTAATTAACCAATGATAATCAATGGTTGATTTTCTGCCAAAAGTTCTTTAAATGCAAAAAAAAGGTTGGAGATTATTCTTTTCAGACTGATCGTCTTGGTGTTGTACACAAAATCGTTCTGTCGAAGATTACCACGAAAGCAAATAATGAAGAAAAGAGCATTATACACCTGGTGTACTGAAAGGCATTTTGACTAGTCTTGTCGACAATTATATGAAGTCTTTCTACATTTATATTAATTTTCGGTCAGGTTGTATATGTATGTGTTATTGCATCGACGTGTTCACTGTATTATCTATGTTATTGGAGTTTAGCAACAGTCAGCTGACTGTTCAATTACAAGTTTGTTATCAAATCAACGGTATTTTGTAATACATCACGCGAACACTCAGAAAATAATGATGTTCTTACACTGAGTTATGTCAATATCTAATTGTGCAATTAATATTGATAATGCGCACTGTGATTTTATAGTATCAGTCAATAGTCATCGCTTAATTATCAAAAATAAAGCGATTATCTTCCTCGAATGTGACCGTAGTCTTTGATAGACAGGTTGGAAATTGTCGTTTTATCTAACGTCTTTCGTAATATGTCAAACTCAACTTGAATTCTGGGAAACAGAAGAAAACCGAGAATTTTCCAAATTTAACATTGTTGCATTCTCAAATGCTCAAGATTCTCACATCTGTCACAATTTTCAATTTAAAATATTCTCGCAATTCGCTCTTCTGCAAATCGGTTTTCTTCTTCTAGTCTGGTTGATTAAACCGAATTTGTGGCAAATGCAACTTCTTCATCTTGTGCTAATGCTTGACGCATATCCATATAAGTAGTCTAACAACATGGATAAATATGTTTGATAACTCATTCAAAATTATTTTAGAAGGTAGTTCAATATTCTTCTCTGTTGTGTGATATTGTGTAGATATCAAGATAGCACACTAGCAGCAAGTTCTCAAACACAGACTCTTATCCCATATTGTTTTACGCATCCACTAGATCTCTTTATT